TTTTTACATACGGAAGCTTTTACACACAGACGCTTTTACACACATAGGTTTTTACACACAGACTCCATTACACACAGGCGCTTTTTCACACAGACAGTTTTACACACAGACGCTTTTACACACAGAAGCTTTTACACAGACGCTTTTACACACAAAAGCTTTTACACACAGAAGCTTTTACACACAAACGCTTTTACACACAGAAGCTTTCACACAGAAGATTTTACACACAAAAGCTTTTACACACAGAAGCTTTTACACACAGAAGCGGGCTTTTACACACAGAAGATTGTACACACAGGCACTTTTGCACAGACGCTTTTTACACAAACACTTTTACACACAGAAGCTTTTACACACAGACACTTTTACACACAAACACTTTTACACACACACACGCTTTTACACGCAGACACTTTTACACACAAACGCTTTGACACACAGACACTTTTACACACCAGAAACTTTTACACACAGACGGCTTTACACACAGACGCTTTTACACACAGAGGCTTTTACACACAGAAGATTTTACACAACAGAAACTTTTACACACAGACGGCTTTACACACAGTCGCTTTTACACACAGAGGCTTTTACACACAGAAGATTTTACACACAGAAGCTTTTACACACAGAGGCTTTTACACACAGAAGATTGTACACACTGAAGCTTTTACACAGACGCTTTTTACACAAACGCTTTTACATAGAGAAGCTTTTACACACAGACACCTTTACACACAGAAACTTTTACACAGAGCACAGAAGCTTTTAAGCAGACGCTTTTACACAGACGCTTTTACACAGGACGCTTTTACACACAGAAGCTTTGTACACACAGAAAAAATCGCAATTTTACCTCAGTTTTTGGCGATCGACCCTCATTTCGTGCGAAAGGGTTGCAACGGGAACCCGGTAATCGCAATTTTACCTCAGTTTTTGACGATCGAACCTCGTTTCGTGCGAAAGGGTTGCGCGGGACGACTTGAACTCGCACTTTTACTTCAGTTTTTGACGATCGAACCTCATTTCGTGCGAGAAGTTGCGCAGGACACCCTGAAATCGCAATTTTACCTCAGTTTTTGACAATCGAACCTCATTTCGTGCGAAAGTGTTGCGCCGGACAAGTTGAAATCGCAATTTTACATCAGTTTTTGGCGATCGAACCTCGTTTCGTGCGAAACGGTTGCGCGGGACAAGTTGAAATCGCAATTTTACCTCAGTTTTTGGCGATCGAACCTCGTTTCGTGCGAAAGGGTTGCGCGGGACAAGTTGAAATCGCAATTTTACCTCAGTTTTTGGCGATCGAACCTCGTTTCGTGCGAAAGGGTTGCGCCGGACAAGTTGAAATCGCAATTTTACATCAGTTTTTGGCGATCGAACCTCGTTTCGTGCGAAACGGTTGCGCGGGACAAGTTGAAATCGCAATTTTACCTCAGTTTTTGGCGATCGAACCTCGTTTCGTGCGAAAGGGTTGCGCGGGACAAGTTGAAATCGCAATTTTACCTCAGTTTTTGGCGATCGAACCTCGTTTCGTGCGAAAGGGTTGCGTTTCGTGCCGTCTCGTTGGCACTGCCCCTGCCCCCGCCTTCAGAAGAGAAATATGAAAGAACGAGAGGGCAAGAGGGCAAGAGGGCAAGAGGGCAAGAGGGCAAGAGGACAAGAGGGCAAGAGGGCAAGAGGAGAAGATGTGAAGATGTGAGGATGTGAAGATGTGAAGATGTGAAGATGAGAAGATATGAAGATGAGCAGATGTGAAGATGTGAAGATGTGAAGATGAGAAGATATGAAGATGAGCAGATGTGAAGATGTGAAGATGTGAAGATGAAAAGATATGAAGATGAGCAGATGTGAAGATGAGAAGATGTGAAGATGAGAAGATGTGAAGTGAGATGTGAAAATGTGAAGATGTGAAGTGAGATGTGAAAATGTGAAGATGTGAAGATGAGCAGATGTGAAGATGAGAAGTTGTGAAGATGAGCACATGTGAAGATGAGCAGATGTGAAGATGTGAAGATGAGAAGATGAGAAGATGTGAAGATGAGAAGATGTGAAGATGAGAAGGTGCGAAGATGAGAAGATGTGAAGATGAGAAGATGTGGAGATGAGAAGATGTGAAGATGAGAAGATGAGAGACAGACCCCCATTATTGGAAGAACCCTGCGCTCAGACGCTCTCGGGAAAAAACGTGGAAAATCATGTCCTATGACCCTTCCCCATGGCCCAATATGCTGTTTCCTGTTTTCCATCCGCCAGAAGAGCCTTCACCACTTCCGTCAGACCGGGTTCATAGATCGGCAGTTCATCGCCTTATTGCCCGGATTTAGCCACTGTTTGCTTTGAAGGACTTTCGATGTGAAACGATGTGTGACAGTCACAGAACCAAATGATATTATGGTAAATTGATGTAAATTAGAGCTTGACATCATGGCCACGGTCCTCGTATTCTTTTTGATTCAGGTCGCGATAATGTTTCTGATGGACTTTTTCCAAACAAAGAAGCAGGTCCGTTAAGAAGAAAGCCCCAATGCACCTTTCATTCTGGACTCAATCAACTCTCCCAAGTTGAAAATGAAAACTGGATTGGTGCTTCCCATCCATCAAACATGCAAATCACTTGGAGTCATCCTTCCCATGCTTCGAGTGAAAGCGCGAATAAATGTTGAAAAGTCGAGGATTGAAAAGCTTCGAGTCACTGTTCCAGCGCTTGATCCTATCTTCGTTCATGTCCACAATCACTACCTTCCAGGAAGAAGAGGCTGGCATGCATAGACTGAGATATTAGCTTGCTGCGTGTGCTACTAGTAGGATGTGTCGATAATTTGCTAGAGGCTAGGGTTATATATCTGAGGTTTGTAGCACAAGTCAACTGAAATTCTGCCAACTACAGAAAGCCAACAAACAGCTCCTTGTCGACAGCAGACCAAGACCAAAAGGATCCAAAAGTTATGGCAATATGGTTCGATATTATTCGTATCCTCTGGCAACTGTTTCCTCTTCGCTCCCTGACGGTCATCCCATGTCATCCCAAGTGACCTCCAGTTGAGGGCACTTCAAAGCAATGGTTGCCATGGTGGGTCCACCCACATAGCCAGCGCCGATGCAGCAAATCCTGGCACTGACTGGTTTTGCAAAGACTAAAAGGATGTTTGTTCTTTCATTTGCGATCTAGATTTCTATCCTATCCTTGACCTCCCATGCCTTTTACAGTTTAGGGTGTACGGGGAAACTGGATAATAATCTTCCAGGTCTTCCAGCCAAGGGATCACAAATTCTCAAGCATCAAGAAAGACCTACTCGATATACGTAGAGATGCGTAGAGCATCGTAGAGCTAGATAGCAACGTGTGGAGAGTTCGGCGTTGCCACATTCAGAATGTGACGTTATTTGACGTGGCATCATGCACGGATACCCGGATACCTACTCTTGGAATGCTTACCTCGAGTTGACCTGAAAGTGGGACACATTATTCCTTAAGAGAAAGATTTGATAAGACCTGCAGAAGCGTGTGTTCTTGATGAACCAGTTTATCATGTTTTGCCATGTGTTATGAAAATCTCTTAGAATTTACCGGTCAAAACCTGGGATCCTCACCGCTGTGGCCGATCTATTTGCCACCTTGTCCTCTTGCTTGGACTCTTCAAACACAAAACAAGTTGTCCAACAAAAAAATCACCGGTCCATGAAACAAATCCAGAGCCACCTGGGATGCACACAAATCGCACAAAGTCTTCTTCCAATATCTTGGATTGTTGCCGGATGTGTCTGGATTTTCCAGGATTTTCCTCCCATCCTCGCAACCCATCCTGTTCAGTCGCACTCCTAGCTTTGCATGCTCCGCCATGGCTGATGGCCGCTTCAACGAATCTACGAGCCTTATCAAGCCAAAATGCCAGCTGTGCAAAGAGAACGCTAGTGGCCCGCAGCAGGTCATGTCCGCAAGGTGAGTGGTTGTGGTTGATTCACCCTGAAGGCATGCCGCAAATTCATATTTGGTGCCACCTGCGATTAGAGACACATCAAGCTCAAGAAACTGAGCAAAGATTTTCTCACCCATCGGTTCATCTTTGGATGGACATGAGGGTGGAATGTCCTTGTGGCCACAAATGGCCATCTATTGCGCCCATCGCAAACGATGCAACGGGGAACACTGATCAAATCGATTGAGACGGGGAAGTCTCTGCGACGGGGATTGATGTACAAGCAACTCCACAACTTGGACAGGTCAAGCACCATGTCATCATGTCATCCACGGCTATGGAGAATAGCCACCAGACAGGAGACCACTTCCAGCTCTGGTCACAAAGTCTGCGATCTGTGACTGACCTCCGGAACTTTTGATCTGTCCCTTGCCGAGCGCGTGCACTTCAAATCCGATGTCCACAAGGGCTGCATGATCCAACATGTTGCGGCCATCAAAGAGGAATGCTGGTTTCATCATCTTGTCGTATAAGCTCCTCGAATGCTGACCAAATCTGGAGTATGAGTATATTGTGATATTTAACACACTTTAAAACCAAATCTATGGTACAAAGCGGACGGATTGGAAATAGCCAACACAGTTTATATGGGCTTTCATCGTAGCGTCGTGGAGGATAAAACAACGCTCATAGCCTGGACCAATTCTGGTTCTGCGAAGAAGGATGAAGAAGGACATGTGTTTCTGGGTGGTCTGCTAGCCCCTGACTCTACTTACTCCCAAGAACCCAAGGAGAACAATCACTCAACAAAGTTGTCGCAGCAGATTCCCTCAAGCATACAGTATTTGTAAAACTCCAGCATCACCCTGGAGAAATATCAGACTAGCTTGGCTTGGCAGGCTGACTCCTCTCCGAATCAGATGCCGAAATGCTCACTTCACTTCCCAAGTTCAAATCAGAACGCTGTGCGACATATAAACATCCATTCCCGGCTATTAAAACATTTAAAACGGGAAGCCAACATCGCAACAGAACTTTCTCTGGGTGGCATGGGAGTCCCCTCAATAATCGAGGGTCTTGTAGTCATAGGTCTTGAATTCGTCCCATTCTGTCACGACGACGATAGCATGCGCACCATCACAAGCCTCCTGTGCACTTGAGCTGCAGACACGGACGATCTCTTTCATGAAATGAGTTTCCATCTGATGCTTTTCGGTCAAATCACATTAGAAGTATGCTGGCAGTATGCTTTAAAACAGAATGTACTTGTCAAAGAGTTCACACCGATGATCTTCTCAATCAAGAACTGTCGCCTCACACCAAGCATTTGGTCCCCTCGGAACCTGTTGGTGATGCGCTGCCAAGCTGCTCCAAGGTGAAATGTATTTGTAGGGCAAGTCTCCACACACTGCCTTCAATCAGGAACTGATCCATGGCAGCAACTTCTTCGGGACTAGCAAGCTCTTTCATAGGGATGACATGGAATGAAATGGAATGAAATGAAATGGAACGAACTGGAATGAACTGGAATGAATGTATGAAGACATCGATAGTTTAAATGTTTAGTATATATAATAATATAATATAATATAATTATATTAAAAATGACGTTAAATTAGACGATTCACCAATCGATTCCCAATCACACATTTTGAATGATCCACAAACGAATTTGAAGATGTCCATCTACACTACAAGCAACAGCTGCCAGGGAACACTGCTGAACTGAAGAAAACGTCAATCTTCAATGACCTACGATGAGCTCTCATACTACCACTTGCATAAACTGACATCGCATTGCTTTGCAAGTTGGCAAGTCTGAACTAAGACCAGTAATGAAGTGCCTGCTTGGGGCCAAGTACTTGAAGTCCATACATTCTGTGCACCTCAGCTCTTTCAAATAGAATGGGTAAGCCAGCTCAGAAACAGACCCAGTAGAACCCAAAACTGGACAATCTCAATTTCGAGGCATGCCTATAGTGATGCTGGCACGTTGCAAGTGACAATCACAAGCTAATGAACCACGAGATACCGTGAGTACATCTAAACTTGCTATCATGTTGACTCCTCTCAAGAATGATCACTACATGTGTAGAATCTCCAAGACTTTGTTGCCTTTTCACATCTTTTCACCAGGACGCAGGGCATATAAGTCTTTTATAGGGGTCACGAGTAGGTGGAGGGCCATGACACCATGAAGCAGAGTTGGATGGTTAAGTACACAACCCATTGGGTCCATTGGTGGTTTTGAATGGTTTTGAGATGTCTGAGATGTTTTGAGCCTGCAAGCTGAGCTCCCAGCGTCTGACTGTCGAGACAGTTTCGGCAACTCCATTGCCCACCTGAAGCAGAATTCGCACTGCTGCCAAGGTTGTCCAAGCTTCGAATGACGATAATGACAGAAGGATGAGTACCGTATCAAACCACGGGAATCACCATGAGATGCCTTAGTCGATCATGCATTTTGGTATTTAAGTGGAACTGAAAAGCTGTTTCCGAAAAAAATGACGGACACCTGCCTTGTACTAGCCAGTGGGACAATCTGTCTCCTACCAAAGATCCGGGGACAGAAACTTGCTCTTCTTGCACTCCGAGCAGGCATCAGGGTTCTGCAGAGTAGCAAGATCAATAGGTCACTGGTGGTAAACAATTCAAATGATCACGTGCATTATACATGTCATGTGGTTTCGTACATATTCAATCATATTCATGCAGCATATGTGTATATACTTACACACATAAGCAAAATTTGGGGCCTTTGCTCTCCTCTGCGCTTGACAGCAAAGTGTGGCGTCAAGACAAGAAAACACTGCTGCGTCCTCACACGTGTTGCAATCTTCAGGGCAATCTTCAGGCACTCTCGGCCAATCGGTTTGCCATGGATTGGGGAGCGATAGAAGCCTCACTTCGCGAAAAATCACAGATATCACATGATATTACAGTGATTCACAGCGGAAAGATGTGTAAAATTGTGTAAAGCTAAGAGCAATTCACACCCGGGCGGAAACAAATTGAAAAATGTCCCCCGGGGATGATGACCTGCCAACCAAAGCACTTGGTTCATCGCTTGAATGCAGCGATTCCGATGATCGAATTTTAGCTCGGTTCTTAATTTTTGCATATTTGAGCGTTTTCCCAGCTAAGTCGGCAACCATCCGGGTATGTGCTTTCGCATTTTGCTGCAGCAGTGAGATACCTCAGCAATTCTTTCTTTTAAACAAGAGTATGGCATCATCAACCCGCTAAGATTTACAAGACCAAACCGAACAGAGTGTTGCTCACCAAAGTTAAGCTGCAAGTGATTGATGCACTCGGAGGCATAGCTGGCACTGATACATCGATTAAAACCACTGGGACATCTCATATCATCTCATGCACTCGCGGCCCAATTCTTCTGTTCCAACTTCATACTCACCATCGGGGCAATGTTCAACACACTCTCCGCTTTGTGCCAGGAAGTAGTTGTTGCAAACCTTGAAAAAAGCTGCACCGGCACTGTGCAATTCTGCGCCTTTCGTGTAGCAGGATTGCTAAAACGAAAGTTGTGCACCGCGAAGTTTACATTCCAACAATGACGACTCCAAATCAATATTCAACTTAAGTGACTAGCCAAGGCGTCGTTTGTGACAAGATCTTCGGTTACTTTTTAAGTAAGCCTAAGTAAGCTCTCGACCACACAGATATTTGCACTCACACACCTCGAGTGTGCTCAACTCAAACTAGCCGTGCAACAGCAATCAACAGTAGCACGAACGCAGTCGCTGATGTTCAAGCACTTCCAGCATAACATGACAGAAGCTGACCAATAGAGGTTGAACCACAAATAAACTTTTTCAGCCCGGCTTTCCACTCGGGACCCGCGGGCATCCGACTTTTAATCTTTTAATGTGAAACAATGTGGCAACTATGCTGTGAGAGTCACCACGGCAGTGGCCAACGCCAGTACTGCAAGAACCGGGCCGTAGCCAAGGAAGCTGTACAGCAAGACCGCGCAGAAGGGCCCCAGCAATCTGCCAATGTAAGCCTTCAACCATTCCAACACGACGATTGAGTGCTCTGCATCCTTCTGCTGGTACAACTTTGCGGCATTGAAGGGAGCTGCCATTCCCAGAGCTATCATTAAGATACCAAGCTCGAAGATTCTGGAGAGCAAAGTCAAGAGTTCTCCATCACCATCATTTGCGATATTTTTGGGTTGCAAACCTGCCACGAGCAGTGCTGCACCACCAATGGCTCCAGAAATAATCTTGCTCACAGTGGTACCATCCTGTGCCTGCCGCGGACCACAAGAACATGATACACTGCCCGCGATCGCTTCAAAGGGCAAAGGCATGAGGAACATGGAAGCAACGGCCAAAGTTTGTCGGTAGTTTCCAGTCCAATTAGCGTCCCTCATTGAGAGTGCCACAACAGGAACCATGGCAGACTGGACAAAGATTCGCGTCGTGCCCGAGACCCACACTGTAAAGCGAAATTTTCGGTCAGACTCGGCGAGTTTGGCACGGCGCCGACCTTTGGCCGTCCAGTCAGTGTAGCGGACTCCTTCAGGTAATCCAACCAGTCGACTTGGGAAAACTGATCCAACCCACAGCATGACCACCACCTCGATGCAGAGTGAAACTGCTGAGGGGATCAGTTCTGGAGCCTCTTTGGGAAGATTCCCGCCGCTGATGGTAAACAGCATGACTGGGAAAAGAGCCCCGATGGCAAGACCCAGGTCGCCTGTGAAGAAAATCCAGGTCTGGATCTTGGTGTGATTGTCATTGGTGCTCATGATGGCCAGAATATGACGTGTCTGAAATAGGATGCCAGAGCCCAGGCCATGCACCAAACGTGCCAACATCACAGGCCATACCGTGGTGGGTGCGATGGCTTGGCCACAAACTGTGATGAGATGCCCCAGCAGTTGGAAGAAGAGAAATAGCAGGAGGCCGTAGCGATGCCCGAAGCGAACCGTCACTGTTCTGGTCAGCCACAAGGACAATGGCATGGGCACATACACGCCTCCAATCAGCAAGGCAACAAGCCCGACATCTTTTCGGTCCAGCTGCCCTGGGCCTTTGGTGTTCATCCAACTGAAGGCGGTGGCCAACACCGATGTGGAGTTTATATAAAAGATCAGGCAAAGCACCAAACAGATCCAGTCAACCCGCAAGGGCGGCATGATGGATTCACCATAGTGCATCACTTTGCCAACATGCATAGGTCCATGTTGAGCATGATCATCCTTGTCATCCTTGTCATGATCATCTTGATGCTCTTGTTCCTCCTCTGCACTCTCGGGTCTTCTCCGGCGTCGCAAGAGTTGAAAGCAGTCAGAAGCTTCGCCTTGACAGCTTTGGAGGGCTTCACCAACTTGCAAGACATAATCAACATTGTATAGTAATAGGATGTATATAATAGGTATGTAAACACTTAAATTATTAATAATTATCTTATATTTACTCTTGAATTGTATCCAATATAAATATACAAACTATCCATAGCTATCCAAGCTCAAAGGCTTTGAGGGATTTTGAGCCCTTCCCACCTGCAAATTTGGTCTCCTTGCCCTGGCTAGCCAGAGAACCACTGGAAGGTACGTTGTGAAACTTAAAGAGCTCCTGTAGCTGCGCGGCTGGGCGAGCGACTTTGGAAGCCATCTTGTACTTGTGCCATTTCCTCAGTTGGCGTAGCAACTTCTTCGATTTCTGAAAAAAGAAAGTTGAAAGTCACGGAAAATCAAAATTCTGTCAATCATCAGAAATCAGAAGGAAAAATTGAACAAACATTGTAACATGTGCCAAAACCGGAGACCCGCTTCTTTCGGGCTTCATCCTTGCCCCAATTGGCTGCCCAGGACATCTGAGCTTCAAGATGATCTGGTAGCTGCAGCAAAACTGCTCGGGCGCGGTCCGAGCCGTGCAAGTGTTGTAACAAGGCGATGGCCGTCACCTCCTCCACACCTCGTTCTTGGCGATTTCTTTTTGTTTGATATATGATATATATATATATATATATTATATTTATATAATGTATATTTACTGGATGATGATCCAGTTTTTCCCATGAAATAAATCGAAATCTCGAAAAAAAAAAATCAGAATCAGAATCGCCACTAAAGCATTGAACCAAATACCATAGCTGTTGAACCCCAAACATCATATATCACATGATATTCATAGTATATATTATATATATAGTAATTATAAAACAGGGTTCAGATAAGGGGGGAGGAGTTGTGCAGATGGTTTTGGTAGATACAAAGCGGAATGCATAGGGGTGCACAACTACAAAATGCAGTGCATGTTACTTTTTTTGCAGCTACAAAATGAAGAACCTAACTCTTTCTGGCTCGGAAAATAATTCAAAACCAGTACTACAAAATCCAATGCATCTGAAGTTAAAAAATAGCTGAACGTCGGAATTGCTAACATGATTTTTCCCAATGACATTTTGCAGTTGGGTCTTTGCCATCCAAAGTTCCGACCAACATAAATTCGGAGAACATTTTGTAGTTGTAAATGGTTGAATTTAGTTGGATCAAGTGTTGACCCCGTGCAGTTTGTTAGATGGCATTCTGTAGCTTCATGATCTGTTTGTGTCCATGTACATGTCCCCATGCTTCAACTATTCAACTTGTACAACTACAAAATGCTAATGAGATTTTATGTTGGATGCTTCAACTAACTCAACATATACAACTACAAAATGAAAATCATGATTTGAAAGGAATCATCTACAAAATGATTCCAAATACAAAATGGGGGGCACAACCCCTCCTGTTTGTACAAAAAAAAATCCTGGCTGGCAATCTGTACTGTAGCCCAAGTCCTCCCCATTTCGTAGCTGAAATTTGAAGGTGGATAATTATAATTACTATATCCACGACCAACCGGTTTTGGCGTTGCTCACCTGCTGGAACCGCTTGCTTTTGCGTCGTCATCTGCCGTGAAAAGCCAAAGGAAGGATAATCTTCACCGCTCCACCAGCTGTCGCTGCCCATAGGCGCACTACCCTCCGGCATGTTCATGGCCTCCAGCATCCCTAGTCCATCTGCTGCATTCAATGATGGCGGCACATCAGGGAGACCATCGGCAATGCACAGAAAGCCTGTGAGGGCCAGCTTCCGCACACTCCAAAGCGCCAGGGTATTCCAGGGCGAGCTGCGACCGTCCAGGATCCGTTCTCCAGGACGAAATTTGTGGCCGTCAAGGACAGGCCCGACCACCAAGGTATCCGAGTCGTGGTGGTCCATGATTCGCTGCAATACATCCCGTGAACAGCAGACCTCCAACGACTGGTACAAGATGTACTTGGCACCCTTGCTCTGGGCAAAGTTCAGCAGTGCATTCAATGCCGGAACAAATGCTCCCCAGCATGGAACGTGCAAAACATGGAGCGTCAAATTCGGTTCTGCTTCTGCAGCGATCTGTTTCACCAGATCCACATGGGTGTTGACTGCGATCGCAGCAATGACTCCTAGGGCTTTCGCCTGCTCTACATAGCCCCGCAGATGATGCACTGTGGCCTCTGGGATCTCCTTGACATCCGGACGGAAATGCAAACGAGTCCCTGAGACAACACGCGAGAAGTTGAAGGTTTGCTCCCTCATGAATTGCTCTTTCAATTGCTTGTACTCCTCATCCTCTTCCTCCCTTTCCAACTCTTCTTCGAATTCTTTGTCATCTGAAGCAGCGGCTTCTGACCCATCCTGGCTGGACTTGCGCACAGGACGAACATCGCTTGCCTCTGTATCCATGGTATCACTTTCTGCCATCCGAAAATCTCGGGATTAGGTAAACGGCTCCAGCATGCCATCATCATGCCGTCGGATCAAAGAATGATCAACTCTCATGTTGACATATTAGTTGACCACCTTATCATACCTCATCATACCTTATCAATGCCTATCAAACATTATCAAACATCAATAATCACAATCAAACCACAATGCCTGTGGCAATTTCTGCCAGGGCACTGAAGACAGTTGTACAGTTGTCCTGACACGGCGTGCATTCGTCCCCCACCTTTTCGGTGCCGTTCCTGGGTCAAGTGTAACACTGGAATGGGTAAAGAATGGAGGATATATTGCCATAACTGCCATAACTAATAACTGACATTAACAATGGTTTGTAAATATTGAAACATTCATTGTTTTATGTGTTGTTAATATTGTTTCTATGTATGATATTTCGTGGACATGAACCATAACTAGCCTACAAAAAGCTGAGGCAGCTAAGGCTCTTGTAGTACGTGTTGGGGCATGTGTCACTGCAAGTTGCACTGGGACTATGCAAGGTGTAGAGCCGGCACTCTGTACCTGCTCACATCCAAGGGCAAGAATTTCCAGTCCGGCAACTTTCAGCCAGAAATACACAGAAA